CGTATTTGCTTAGCTAGAAAATAGCACTTGGCTTCTCATGTTCTGTTTAGGAGGAAGATACTACTTTTCCTTCAAAACTGTAAAGATATTACTACTCTTCCTTTTTACATATCTACAGGTCAGGAAAGAATGACTGTAGGTGCGGGGGTGGAGGGGGGAAAAAGTTGTGTTTTCATGGAAGCAGAAAGGTCTTTAACTTTCATGGGATCCTGGTGACCCTTTGAAGGAATATGCCTGTAAAAATATGGACTCTGTTCTCTTTAGAATTTGACTATAATTCCACCCTTTAGATGATGTAGCTTCAGCATGTATTTGATTTGCCACACTGCTTTTAAATGATGCAGCTCTTCCATGGTTTCTTTGGGATGCATGTGCTAGATTTTTCAGACTCTAGGTTATGTAGTACTGGATCTTGTAGCATCCTAAAAATACTTGGTTTGTGTCCAATTGTATTTAAGCTGCCTGCATGTTACTGTTTTACAGAGCTCTTCTTTGGCTCTTAACATACAGCAGTACTCACAGAAATCATGAATGAGCATAGAGGAGTTTGGGAATACTGTCATGGGTGCAGCTAATCAATGTATGGTCATGCTTACTTTCAGAAAAAAGGGAAGATTACTACCGATTTTCCAAGCTTGTCATAAGGAGAAAAAAAGATTCATCAGTTAAAAAAGGTCATTACATTAAGAGCAACATTTTAATAGTTTGAAATGTTAAAGTTCTTGCCAATTTAGAATAGGAATTCAAGCTGAAAGTTCCATTTCAGACTGCTGTAATATTGTTATCCAGATGTGCTTGCTGCAAGCCAAGGAAACATTGGGATCTTCTAAAATGTCTCGTCTTGCTTTGGGGCATCTTCTTTTCCCAGGTGGTGCCTGGGGGAGCAGACCTCTTAACAGCAACCCTGCTAAAGCTTTCTCCTCTTTGGGGTAATGAGTGATATTCTAGGTGGTGGAGATGGCAGAGGAGGTGAGTAGGATGTGTCAGAGTTAGGTGTGGCTGCACAGGACTCCCACATGCCCATATTGCCTCACCAAAGCACCCTGAGTAGCCCTGAATGTCATGGAGCACTCTGGTGAGGCTTTCCAGGCTAGCCACAACCTCTGGACACGTAGTGGCAGGATGAGATGAGACATTTGGAGGTGGCCTGATGCTGATGTTGCAGGCACCCTGCCCACAGGCTCGCATCTCCTGGCATGGAGTGTTACCTTCCCTTTTGGGAGGTTCATGTCCCTCCTTGCACCATCCCCCAGCAGTGCTGTTCATCTGGCCTTGGGGAATCAGTCTTTAGGTGGCATGGATGTGGGCTACCCTCTCTGCTCCTCCTTTACCTTGGCAGTAGACTCCTCCAGCAGAGGTGCTGTAGTGTTCTTGGCAGAAACAGCTCAGCACAACCCCGACGGGCACCCCTGTGGCGCTCCCTCGCTCTGCTCCATCTTCCACTGGCTCCCCTACCTGCATGCCATGCTCACGCTCCCTTGCTCTTCCTTTGGTCCACAATCCTCCTCCTCCTTCCTCGCCAAAAAAAACGCTGTGGCCTGACCTGCTCTGAGCTCCACCTTTCCACAGGGTGCCCAGGCTGTGCCCGTGCAGCAGCCCCACCTTCCCCCTGCCCAGGGCTCACGGTGTCACCCAGGGGGCGGCCGCACTGTGCCTGTGCACGGCACCACCCGCGGGCTGACCCCGCCCTCACCGTGCTCCGCCCCGAGCTGCGCTGGCAGCTGGCAGAGATTCGGGTGCTTGGCAGCAAACCCAACCGTGGGCTTGGGCTGCCACTGAGGAGACCTCTCCCAAATACTGCTTGTTGATAGCACTTGGTTTAACAGTGTACATTTATTTTAAAGCAAGCAAGATTAACTTCCTAGGTCCTTAAAAATGAGTTCCTGGCCACCTTAGTGCACTGTTTTAAAAATTATTTGCTTGGGTTGCTTTAACATAAGTTGTCTGCTAATACAGTTCTTTTACTTACCCGATGACTTTTCAAACCAGTGATGAAACTTTCTTATTACTGTCTGGTTTTGCAGTACATGGGCAGGATAAAGAATATGGTAGGAACTTTGAAAGCTCTGCCTAAAATCTTGATGTTTAGAAAAGCTAAGAATTGATGGCTGTGATGATAATGAGAAAGCGGGAGATACTGAGGAGAGATTAGAGAGAATAAATTCAAATCACACTTAAAAGAAAGTGTTGATTACATATCACTGAAGCGGATTTCTGGAAAACAGTTCTCAATTCAAGATATATTCACTGCCTTTTTCTTTTTCCAACCTGACCTCCTCAAATAAGATTGCTTCTGTTTAGTCTGTGTCAATATGAATTTTGATGGGTTCTAAACTATGTGGGAAGTGAAAAGCATGCCTCCTACATGGAGATCAATTTCCTTCAATTTATTGTTGACAGCCTCTTACGTGACTTCCTCTTAGGCCAATACAGTCATTTCTGTTCAGAAGATGAGAAGCAACTGAGGACTGTCTGAACCAGCCAGAAAACTTCTGTCAGAGAACTAAGTAAAAGCAGAGGAGGAATTTCATTTGGAATTTATAGTAAACTGAGAATTTTCCTGTGAAAAAATAAGTTGTTTATATCCGCGAGCTTCTAAATTAAATACGTCAGATTTAGTGCTTTGAAGTGATTTTTTTTCTTTAATCCCCTTAACTCTCACAGACTAGATAATCTCCCGTTTATTGCAATGTAAAGCGTAACTGAAATACACAATACAGTTTATCTCTACAAAGTACGGAAGTGCATTTAAAGTAATTTTAATACTAGTGTAATCAAACCCCCAACTTTATTTCTATTCCTCTGCCTCTTTCACTGAGGAACAGATGGCTTTAAAGCACAGCTTTCACAGGCAGCATCCTACCAACTTAGAAGGCAAGAATTTTACATCCTGATTCCATAATGGGGGCCACATTGCATTCTCCTTAAGGCTCCCTGTGCTGCTTTATTCAGCAGAAGAGTTCCTCTCCAGAAATCTGCCTTCAGTTGTTACATCAGGGAATTAAAAGAAACAGTATTATACTGCAAAGATACCTTATGTGAACTGTAGGCCTTTTAATTCCTTCTTTTGGGTAGCAAATGAAACCTTGCACATGCTCATGATGACATCATGGAGCTATGGGGAATGTATTGTTTCTAAGCAGTGGTGGAAGTCTCTTTGAGTAGGAAGACAATACTGTAAATAGCAAGGTGGGGTTTTTTTTATAAAATCATAATATGAAGACACAAAGCTTACAGAGACTTCACTCAGATACTGTTGAAACTGCATGAAGACTTCTCTGGGATGTGGGAATTGAGCTGGTAGATTACATTTGTATTTCATATTATTCTAAGTATAACAGCCATATGTCCAGTACATTGGACAGAAAATAAGAATTCCAGCATGCTTAGAAGTCTTCTTTGAAAGCTGGAAAATATTGCATGAAGATGGATGTTGTCAGCACCCTGTTTCTTTGTTTACAATAATATTACTGTAGAAGTGCATCCTGGATGTAATGAACTTTGCTGTGGTGAAAACAGGACAGGTAGTTTCACCATAGCAGAGAAAGAGTGGTGAGGTTTGAACCATGTCTGTGATTCAGGGTTGTTGATAAGCATTAATGTTGGCTTAAGTGGCATGCTGATATGGGAATGTCAACTTTTAAAATAAGTGCTATTAAGCAAACAAAGTGAGTTTTGGTGTAATAGGGAATAAGGCAGAAATAAGTAGCAGCAAGCTACATGTGATTACCTTGCCTAAACCTAGTCATAAAATAGATATTTGTGTCATATTGCGCTATACCAATGATAAGGAACATCTGCATTCTTTGTTCACATTGCCTATTTGGTTTTTTTCTCAAATATATTGACATGATATAAAATAATGTTTTAATGGTGATGTCACCTTATCACTTTAGAGTTTTAGATATTTTTTTCAGTAAGAATTTCACTTCTCAGTTGGATGATTTTCTTCTTAACATTGTTCATGTACAAGTTGCGAAAGCAGGAAAATATTTGTAACTGTGATCCTTGAAAAGAAGGTAGAAAAGCTGTCAAGTTTACAGAAATAATTACTTTTGAAGTCTACAGGCCGATATGTTCAAGGAATGTATAATTCTGTGTATTGCCACTCTGAGTGCCAAACTTGGAAATGCAGGGATTTAATACTGTAAAGCATTTCAAGTTAGATACCTAAAATCAGATATTATTTAGACTGAAAACCATTGTCACCAATTGTACAGTTTTAATATTTGAAGTACTGTTTTCAAAAATGTGAAGTAAATGATTCAGAAAATTCTATCCTGTGTTTATTTATAAAGACTTTATTGTTTTCCATGTTAGTCAAGTTCCTAATTTTAGAATATTTCAAAATACTGTAATTCAATTCGGAAAATCTTACTTTGGGCTAATACTCAAGTAGTGACTAGACTACATTTCTGTCATTAATTTACTCTATGTGTTTCTGAAATCATCGTGAAATACGTACTATTTTAAAAAAAGGCCTTGTGATTCTGATTCTAATTTTATTTTTATAACAGTGTGAAGAATAGACAATGTTCCTGAACTGGTTTGTGCTTGCATAAGCTGCTAGGAGTAGAAGTAATATGACAACATGTACTTAATGGACTTCAAATAGGAGCCATGGAGTACAAAATGCTCGGTTTTGAACTGTCAATGCAGAAGCCAGGGCTTTTTAACTTTCTAGTTTATGAAGTCTATGTGCCAGAGCTAATTTTGAAAACACTTTGAGATTTAATTGTGCATTTACAGTGGAGTAATAGTAGTTTATTAATTCTAGAACCTGAAATGATGCATATCCATCTTAATGCCTTACAATAATTATTATAATTGACGTGATTTTTATGCAGTAATTTATTTTTGACATTTCTAGAGTTGATCTCCTTTAAGATATATATATAGAGACTCCTATTATGTTATTTTAGTAATCTTATTTTAAAAGGGAACATGACATATTGAATAATGTACCTCAATTTTATTGTAATGATTTTACTGGTTACCAGGTGGGGTGGCAGTTGAAAAATTTGGTGAATGCACTACGAGAGGATCCGAGTGGTGTTATCTTAACTTTGAAAAAGCGACCTCAGAGCATGCTTACCTCAGCACCAGCTTTACTGAAAAATATGAGATGGAAGCCCCTTGCTCTGCAGGTAATGAAGCTTAATCATAAGTCATACACCATCATTATAGCTGTAGATTATCTCAATGATGCTTTATTGTGCTTCATCTCAGCAGCATATAGATTTACACTTGTATACTTTGAAAAACTGTTTCTGAAAGTATTTCTCTACAGTTTGTTCTCATAGGCTCAGTTGAAATTAAACCTGTTAGCAGAACTTTTCAAAGTCAAGACGTAATCATCCCAGTATTTTACAACTGAGAAAAGTAGCCCCAGATAACTCCCCTAGCCAAGGAACAAGCATACTTCTGAAACTGATACATCTTATTTTGACTTCTTGTAAAGCTCTCAGTGTACTATAGCCTCAAAGTAAAAGGGCAGAGAGAAAAGGATTTTGAGTTCTTAGTTTGATCAATCATGGAATTATAGGAAAATTCACAAGGTGATTTTATTCAATAAAACCTGACACATCAAAATTTCTGTATGTTAATAGTCATATTCATGTCAAAGTTGTCCTTGAGATTGAACCCTTGCACATTCAGGAGGTGATGCACAGGATGTCTGTCTGGGCCTTTAATTTTAGTAAGCCTGCAATGTGCTGAAAACCATGGAATGACTTCATTAAAGCTTTCATGTTTCACTCTAGGATAAAATGTCACTGTGATGGATGACTCTAGGAAATATAAGTTATGTCCAGACTGATGAAAGCATGTAACTAACAGATGGAACTAACAAATAATCCCTTTTTCCATTCAGTTCAGATAGAAGAACATTTAGAAATTTTTATTTTCATTAAGGATGCATTCTTTGGGATGTTTTTATTATTATCACAGTAAAATACTTACTTAAAATTAAGTACATTTGAGAGAGAAAAGACTTGTGCAGAGTTCTGGCAAAAGGAAAATGAGATATGGAAATACCCCTACCAGTAGCTGTGGTTGTTGCCATTTAAAATATTGAGATTCATAAAAATAACTGATTCCTTGAAAAGCTCCTTTGAAAGATGTATATATATATTTTAAAAATATATCATTGTCTTTGAAAATTACTAAGTTTTTAAATGATTGAGATGTCTTGGTCTTTCAGATGCAAAGGTCTAGGCACATGACAAAAATCTTTCAACCAAAAAGATGTTATTAGCAGCTGAAATTAAAACTGCAAATCTGGATGCATGATATGAGTGTGTGAATGTCCATACTTGAAGACTGCACTTTTATCATAATTTCAGTGGGAGTATAAGTACAAATGAAAAATGCACTTCATTGCTTTAAATGGGATCAAATGCTTTCAGTCTAATTCCTCTCTGCATGAGTTTGGTATTTCTTTGAATGAACTGGCTCATTTTCTTTAATATTCATTTTTTCTTCACTTTACCGTTTGCCATTAGAATAATTACACTGGAGCCCCTACAACAGAAGTTTCTGACATGGGCCCTTGATGCAGACAATAGTAAACAAGCAATTAATCCAAGACAGGCTACTAAGAAAGGGTGGGAAGGAATTGGACAGGAACTAATTTCCACCAATTAAACTAAGTCCAGTAGGAAAGTGAGGATTCCTGTGCTGCTTTTACAGTGAATGCAGTCGTGAGCTAAAGTTACAGGCCTGCTTGAAACACCGTAGTCACTTCCAGAAGCAAAAATCCAGTCATCTTTTAGTGTGTTTTATTTGGCTGTGATTGACATCTCAGCATCCTTTGTTCAATACAGACAGTAAGGTGTTGTTCAACGGGTCTGACTTTAGATAACTGGTATCTAGGTATCGACATATGTACATACCATTCAGGTTTCTTGGGTTTACTGCCTTGGGCTAACATATATAACAGTTACTGGTGCATTCATCTTGGTCTGTATTAGTCTGATCTACCTTAGGATGAGGTGAATTAGACCCTGTGCATGCCTCTTTCTCTCTATTTGATGATAAAGGGAGCCTGGACAGCAGCTAGCTCGAATGTAGATTATCTGGATTATGTAAAAGAAAACTGACCCTAGATAGAGTTTTTATGTGATCTTACAGATTTGTGGAGGTGGGGTAGCGGGAGTTTTGGTGTGGCTTTTTGCTGATAGCATAGAAAATGTGAATATTTTTAAGGCTAACATGAGTACAACTGGAGATACTGTTAAACATTAGGGATATAATTCTGGTATCGTTATGATATTCTCATTTTATCAAACATGATACTAGGAAAAGGCCAGAACCTTATTCAGTGGTTATGTGTGCAGTGTGCATATGTGTGTCTGTTGTAATTTATGATTTTTGTGTGAGAAACAGCTATTTTAAGTAGCCAAAAAAGAGTGTCAAAAAAGCTCCAGGATGAAGTAAAGGCCAACTTCAGAAGCTGCATAATGTGAAATCGTTAATTTATGCAGATCAGAGGTTAACAGAGGTCAGCTGATGTTAAAGCTTAAATGTAGCCTAAGTGTGAAATCAGTAGTGTATGTATGATTAATAACAAGCAGTAAAAGCAGTCAGAGTGCAGTGTAATTTTATAGCTGCTAAAAATATGAAGATATAATGTTTATTTAACAGAATTTACTTCAAAACTTTCTGAAAAAAAAGTTCTTCAGAGAAACTCTTAAGTTTTGTTATTTGCCTTATGGCTGTTCTGAATTTTTTTATGTTCCTGATTAACGTAAGGGTGCTATTGTACTGTTCTTTAATAGGAGCTGGGGAGGTAGCGTGAGAGGAGGGGAGGGAAGTGAGAGCAAATAAAACAAAACAAAACTGTACTTCCATCACCTTTGGAAGCAGGGGAAATTATGATAACTTGTTTTCCTATATCAGGATGTCATGAAATAATTGAGAATGTTATAACTGTGCTGTCATTCCTGAGCTAAGTTAATTGAACCATATGTATTATTCAACAGACACAAGCTATAAAGAAATTGTGACTCAGTAATAATTCTGTTAAAGTACAAAATATGAACAAAATATTCATAAGACATTAAGATATGAGGATGAAATTCTGATTAAATGGGGATATGTGATCCACTGCTGTGATTTTTTTGGTTCTGCAAATGAATAACAGAGGAAAAACATGGTGTCACATTCTAATGAAATCAGTGAGTGACATGAAAATGTGGAAGTTTGCCCTATTGTAAGGAGGCTGACACAGAAGCAGAAACTTGAATTTTTGTATGCACCCCGCCAATGAATATTTAACAGCAGTTGAAGTGAATGTAGAAGGTAAATGTTTGCAAGAATTAAGAAGAGAAGAGACTCTTCTTGAAGAGACTCATTTACATTGAGATTTACATTGGGATGCTTTAATTGAGAGCCTTCAAAAATGAATTTTAGCTGAAAGTAAATAAAGTTGGGACATTATTGGTAAGTGGCATTCTGCTTGTTTAGCCAATAATTTTATGTAAGAATATCATTTGCCATTTGCAAGTACATGAAGAACTAGGCTTAATGGAGAGATACTAAATATGCCTGCAAAGTGGGAAAGTGCTAGATGAGGCAGTATGCAGGCACTGCCAGTGTATCAAGCAGCTTGGTGTGTGAGTGGCAGGGCATCCTCGGAATTAAATTACGCATTCTGATAATGAATTTTTTAAGAACTTGCTGTCTGTGGTTAGTGATCTAGATTAGCCATATGCCAGCCAAACATTCATGGTCTCTGAGTGTGGAGAAGGCTTTTAGATCATTCAGGTAGAACTGATTACTAATGGGCATCAATACTTCTTAGAATGTTCAGTGGTTTACTCTGAACAGTTCTGCCTTCATATCGTATTCTTGCCACGTATTAGGAGTTAAATGCAGTCTGTGTAGTTAGTGATTAATTTGGTGTTTTGGTTTTTGTTGTTGGTTTGGGGTTTTTTTTTTTCCTATTAGCAGAAATACAATGTATTAATTCTTTTCACAAATATCCTTATCTTGATAATAAATATGAAAGCTTAAGGGAAAGAAGGAAGAAGAGGAAGAATCATTCATCCTGTGTAGCAGTCCTGAAACTGATAACGAATGGTTTGATGTATAGTAAAATAATACAATTAGCCTATGGCTATACTATGAACCATTGCATAATAACTTTGTGTTTACAAGTACGTTAATTCCAGCTCTAAGGTCAATCCGTACAAAAGAAAAACATCCTTTTTTCCCACTTGTGTCCTGATTAAAGGAAGTACTGGGTTCTTTTTACGTTAGTTTGTTTTCAGTCAGTTGATGATTGTCTGTTTTAATATCCATCAGTATCCAGCTTCTTGCAGATAATCAAAGTTCTCCCATGACACATTTTGGAATTGTGTCTAAATTTGAAGTCAAGGGATTGTTAAGCCTGGGGATTTTTTTGTTATTGCTTTTATAACAGTTGAATTAGGCACCTGTGGCCTTGGGGAATTTTGTGGTTGCCTTTGCAACTGAAAGTATGCATTAATATGGGGTTGTAAATACATAAATACTAACAAGTTATGCCTGCAAGACAAATCTTAATAAATTCGCCTTTCAGTTACTTTTTCTGATACTCTGATCAATTGTGTGAAAGCCTAGAATGACATTTGAGATTGCACTGTTTGTATTTCTGACTTCTACTGAATATAGTGAACAAACCAACTAAATTTAACCTTTAATGTTTTAAATTTTCTTACTTGATATAGAGGTGACTTAATTATCTTTGAACTCTCAATTTTTTGTCTAGTTCAAAACCTAACAAATAAATGTCCTCTATTCTAGATTGTCTCTTTTTTTTTCCCCCTTCCACTTTATTTTATTTTGGGGAGGTTTTAAAGGAAGGCTCCCTGAAGTGCTGTTTGAACAAGGGTGGAAGGTTCAATAGAGAAGATTCTCGGAGCATATGAAATCTTATGTAAGTTTCTATCATCACACTAGCAAGAAGCTAGCTACAAAGTCCTCCCTTGCCTTCTGGAAAATGCATTGTTAATTACTGAAAAGAAACTGGACTTTGACTACAGTGTGGAAGACTCTTCATCCTGTTTCTTTACAATACAGAAAAGGAGTGGTAGAGCAACATGTTGCCGTGCTTCGACTGTTTTGGACTACACCCTGCCCGTATCGGTGAAAAAGCTCTTACTGG